CTGCAGATGTTGGCGATTTGCGCGAACGGATCGTCATTGTTTTCCGCGAAAACCGACGGAGTTGGCTGCACCTGCGGCCGCGGTGCCGTTTGACAGGCGGGTAGTGATTGTGCGATCGGTCGTGAGGCAACCGGGGGCGTGATTACCTGCGCGGACACCTGGGGTTTCGCCCAGGCGTTAGTGACGGGTACGGGCGCGGGAACGTATTTTACGGGCGCGGGTTTGGGCAACGTAGATTTCGCGGGAAATTTTCTCGCGGGAGTTTTCGGGGCCTTAGCGCAGCCTCTATAACTAGCCGGGTGGCCGGTAGCGTGACGACAGTTTACGCAGTCTGGTGGATCTGCGCAATCTTTTGGCCTCGTGCACTCGGTTGTGACGTGGTCACCGGTGCATTTGACGCACCTAGGGTGAGCGAAGCAATTTTTGGCCGTGTGGCCAAAATGTTGACAGTTGTGGCACTGTGCCACAACACCTGATTTGCGCGGGGGCTCGATGACTAAGTCACTGAGCCCACAGACCCTCTTTAGGTTGAAGATGGCCTTACCTTCCGGGGTAGGGTCAAGTTCAACCATGACCATGTCCATAGGGACACGGGTTCTGGGGGTGCCTAAGACGTCGCACTGCATGTACGGGGTATCCCTGAGTGTGGATGTCGACTTTAGCCTTATCGACATCCGACTCTTTGGGGACGCCCTTTATTACTACCCGAAGTTTACGCTCTTCGGGCAACGAGTAGGTGTGAAAACCTTATTTTCGCGTAAATACTTGGTTACGCGGCGGGAATCGTCTGTTGTGTCCAGGTATACGCGGATACCCATGTGTGTATTTTTTGACCGGAGGTCGCGGATGTTGTTTCGTTCAAACCACGAGCACACTTGATGCCACTTTGCCTTTTCTTGAATAATTATTGGAGGCGGTGGCTTAATTTTTCGCTCGGAGGCGAATTCGGGTACCGATTGGGCAGCCGCGGCTGCCTTTTTGGCGGGCGTGGCGGTGGGACGGTTAGATGGGGCGGCCTCGCATTCGGGGTCGCTCTCAGTTGCGGGGCGTTTATTGCCCTTTTTGCGCGACTTTACGACGGTGAAGCCGTCGGCGTTCGCGTTATCAGCGGGGGTTATTTCGACCTCCATGTCCGAGCTGCCGTCCGATTGTGAGTCGGGAACGACATCGCGGAAGGGGGCCGAAATTGCTTGCGCGGAAGGCGCGTTGGGTTCGTTCGCGGCGGCGGAAGTCGACGCGACGGGCGTTACTAGTGTCGCAGAAGGCGACTCATTAGCTGGCGCAGAGGGCACTGGAGATGGCGGCGAGGCGACTGTCGGTGAAGCCGGGTTGTCGCTAGCGTATTCGACGACGCGGCGTTTCTCCGCGGCGAAGGCGAGAAAGCTGCGCCACATTTCGGGGCATCGTTCGCGAATGAATTCCTTTAAGAGGGAACCCATAACGGCGCTTGAACCTTTGGGGCTTGCGCAACGCCGGCGTGTAGTTTCTAAATAGGCCTCCCCACCTTGCGGCAGGGAGGTGTGTGCCTAAAATAAAACAGTTATTCGCCTGCGCTTTAGGTGCTCTAGGGTGGGTACCTAGCTGTCGCCTATCGCAACAAGCACACAAATATTAAATAAAACGATGCCGCCTCTGAGGCGAGAAGTGTGTATGGAATTCTACTTACAGAACAGGAACCTGCCTACGAGCACAACACTACACTAACACTAAACTGCAGCACTGCTTCCACAAAGATTTAATTTGCAACCGAAGTTGCGAGTAGCGTCTAATTCGGGTGGCATGAGCCCTCCGTCTTAGAGAGAGGTCCGTTCCGTACGGAGCACGAAGCGGAATGACGAGATAAGACATGGAAATTATGCTTTAAATAAATTAATTAACAACTGTAAATACATACAAATAATTTATAAATTCAAAATATGTGAATACATATTTTTTAGTTTCGTGTTTTCGAAGGTCCAATAAAATTAAAACTCTCAATAATAAATAAAAACGAAACATATGTCGTAACGGTGAGCGGGCGATGAGCGGCGTAGATCCATATCTAGCAAGGCGCCTCAGCGCTCTCTGTTCAACGTGTGGAGTTGGAAGAGAACCGAAACAACGCCGCGGTGGCGCGGTGTTTTGGCCATCGCGTTCGAATTAATTTTAATGAATTAAATTAATATTTACAAATATCTTACTTCAATCAACAAATTAAGACAACAGCCCTTTTTATTAATATATTCTACACCACTGATATTAATTTCATTCAGATTTGTTCATTTATTATATCTATTTTTTTATTTGAATTTCACGTAAGGTAGGTTCGTGATTTTTTTCTATCGAGAAAATATGTCGAGAATATGTTTTGAAAACAATGGTCCATTAGAATGTAAGATCAAGATTAACATATATTTTTTTATACTTCCGTTTGAAGCCGTTACTTCCGTGCAAAAAAGATCTGAGTTACTCCCATGTCGCGCCTACAGAAGTTTTACTTAAAAATGTTGATGTGATATTTCGTTATATAATAACGTTGGTGCAAAAAAATTTTCTGTAATATGCTATCAAATTGTTACGACGTCATAACTGGCAAATATTAATTGAATAAAAACACCGAGTAGTGATTGTAGACAAAAAGCTAAGTTCACATGTTTTTGCTTTATATTATCATCATCTTCATCATTTCAGCCTGTTTGAGTCCACTGCTGAACATAGGCCTCCCCCATAGACTGCCACGAAGTACGATCCTGAGCCACCTGCATCGATCGACTTCCCGCACATTTGCACAGGTCGTCACTCCATCTAGTGGGGGATCGTCCCACACTGCGATATATTATCTAAAGTGGATGCTGTGTATATTTAAGTTGTCCTGTTCCACTTACTAAGATAGACTAATCGAGGACTATTACTTGGACTATGTTTCCAATAAATAACACTCGGGACTATAAAGCAAACTGATTTAATTAGCGGAAGATAATTACAATATATTTACAAATTACAATACATTAACTAGTCAAACACAGGTAAAGAGAGAGAGTATGTGTAAATACATTATACATGATGCGAGCTATTTATACTAAAAAAGAAATCCTTATTAATATCACAAAGGCGAAAGTTTGTATGTATGGATGGATGTTCACGCAAATATTATTGAACGGATTTTAATAAACTTTATAATAAAACTTTACAATAATATAGCTTACACATCAGAACAAGGCATAGGCTATAATTTATATACAATTTTAATGCAGTCTATCTCCTAGTCTTAATGTTACACCTTCAGCTTATTCTACGCAGACGTAGTCGCGGGGAGCAGCTAGTTAATTACAATTTTGACTCCCACTTGAGAATGCGTGCGCGCAGTGGGGGTTAAATTATGATTTCCGCTTAACTAAAAACAAAAGGCTCGTGCTCGGCCATCTTGCGATAATTAGCTAATACAATAGATGCACCAGCCGCCATACTGTCGCATCACCGAGTGGGTGGAGCTACTGTGCGTTAGAAAATGTTGATTCGTGCAACAGTAACTACGTCGTGAAATTCGATAGACAATAGTAGCTTCGCCGCGGACGTCGACAGCACTCCGTCGTAAAAAAGGATCGTTGTAGCGGTCGAGTTGACTAGCATGCTACATTATCTACTATGATTATTTAATATTATCTAATACTTATATTATCTACTATGATTATTTAATTTAAATACCGATAAAAATAAATACATAAATAAAGGGGTCATCATATACATAAATTAATATGTATTGACATAATTATGCATCGGCAACGAATTGTATGCAAAAAATGACCTTATAAGTCATAAGAGTGTTTCAGCAGTAATTTTGTACTATTTAAATAAATTTTCGTAAATGTTCAATCAAACGTTAAATTTCAGCAGTAAAGTTGATTAGGGTGAGTTGTAGAAGAATTTTCATAGTTAAAGCAATTTTACTCTTGTGGTGGTAACTTATAGGCTAGTAAATTATTTGCAAAAATGACGGTATGTAAATAATTATCGATTTAATAATTTTTTGGTATACCTGTTACTGCTCTGAACGACGAATGGAAATGAGCCGTTAATAAAATCTATAGATGGATTAGAAAAAAATAACAGGATACCTCGCCGCTCATATCGTTTATTTAGATTTGAGGGACACCAGATGAATAAACATTTCCCATTTTTTTTATTATTTTTCAGTTCATTATTTTATTTTAATAAAACGGTTCAAGATGTTCACTTTAACTGCTTAATTGAAATGACAAAAATAGATAAAATTTAAAATAAAGTATATCTTTTGCATGAACGACAAAAAACGCTGCTGTAGTTAAGTAATTCAATTGATTGTGTTGTATATTGATGTGACAGACAGACAATCACACAGACTGTTTACCTATAAGAAGAAAATTTTGCCTTCTATGACTATTAAAATTTATAATGTTAATAGTTATAGAAGGAAAAATTTTCTGAGTGTTACATTTCAATTTATTTCAAATGTAACACTTTCTGTCAGTCTGTTCGTTGCCTTTTCACAACAAAACTTTTGAATCGATTTCAATGAAATTTGGTATATATTTAGCTAGAATTGTGATACACGACATATAGAATTGTGATATTTTAACATTAACATAATTATTCTTTACAACCCGGCTCGAAACCGCGGGCGCAGCCAGTAGAAAATAATAATAAACACTCACTAAAACGCAAGGCTTTTTTATAGATCAAAGAACGACCACTTATAAAATAATATGATTCAAATGCGTTCAATTTTACGAAATCGCTGTATCACAGGATTAACTTTTATGTTCGGGCTTACTGGGGATTTTGTTAGCCAATACATAGTGGTCGTGATCTACGCTAAGAAAGTCACCAAGACTGAATTTAAAAATGGAAGCGATAAACTAAATAAATATGTTTTTATTTAATAATAAAACAAGCTCGTTGACAAAGACGGATCCCGCTTTTGAAACGGAGCAGGCCATATTCTCCCAGCAGGTACACCGCAACTCCCGATAGGGGACACCGCAATGGGTGAGACGCCTGTTCAAAAGTTCTACGAAGGCAGTGTTGTGTTTGTAACAGGAGGCACCGGTTTTCTGGGAAAACTTTTAATAGAGAAGTTGCTAAGGTAGAATTTTTATTCTTTAATGTGTTTTATTCTATATTATATTTTATTCTTGATGACACTAAAAAGAGCTAAATGAATAATATGTCCCCTATGATATGTTTTTCATTCAATTATTCTATTCCTTATATTTTGTAAAAATTTCAGGACGTGTGGTCCGAGTAAAATTTACGTTTTAATGAGAGAAAAAAAAGACAAAGGGTCAAAAGAAAGATTGAGTCGAGCATTAAAAGATCCGGTGAGTATCTAAGTACTTTAATTAAAAAAAATAATCTAACAGGTAAAAACAATGTAATTTCGAAAAATAATTTCAGTTATTCAACGAATTGCGGAAAATAAGAGTTAATTGGGAAGAAAACATTTATGCAGTACAAGGAGATATTAGTGAACCCAAATTAGGAATAGACGACTATGATTGGGAAGCAATGAGGAAAGAGGTGATTTTGTACATTTCATTAAATTTTAAATATTATAATACATAACCATAAACAGCCTATGACTCGCTGTCCCACTGAGGATCGGCAGATTTCATTTATCTTCGAAATATTTTTTGGTGTTATTATTTCGAAAGTGTGCACGTTTGTTTTCAGTGTTTACATTCACCGATGAGCACGTGATTATTCAGCATTTAAAATTGACAATTTTATTGGTAGTTTCTCCAATATATTCATTCTGGCATACTTTGTTTTTGTCTATTATATCTTATTGTTTTTTCGAAAGAACGGAGTATGTGGTTGATAGCATAGTAAAAAGTATATCCATTTGCATAAGATATGGCAGTCACAAAAAAAAATAAGAAAATAAATATCAACAATAATAATATATTAAAACCATCAATGTTTTAATAAAGATGACGTATGTGCATACCGCGCGACGTACACAAATAGTTCCGCTTAACATTATTACATTATGACATCTATTAGTGGATGTGACAGATGACAGAACGTACGATACGGAAACATTTGCATTTGACGTACACTTGCCATAGATAGAATCAGACCAATTATCCAAAACATTCTATTTTTAAATGACGGTCGAAATTCGTTTTTATAAAGGGTGAACGGAGCACATGACAGTGGAGAAAATGAAAAGTGACGGTTAGAAGCGGTCGCACCAGTCGAAGGATAAATGAAGTGAGCGTCAAAACGCTACCAGCAGTTAGTGTGTACCAGAAGGCCATGGAGTAATGTTTATTAATATAGATGACGTATTTCCTGCGCGGCGTTTAAGATTTGTTCCGCTTTACACTATATGACATATATGTGTATGTGACAGATGATATAGAACGTATAATACGGCAAGAGATAGCACTTTCGTATATTTCGTACACGTTTCGTATATAATATCATTGCCTACAAACATACATACATACATACATCCATAAATATAATATGATAGGTATGTATCTACATGCATACTCACCTAAGCACCTACATACCGGTTAAATGAACTTAATATTATAAATGTAGGTGACGTAACGAACCGTTTGTATTTACGAACAGGTGAATGTGATATTTCACATGGCTGCGAATGTGCGGTTTGATGTAGAGTTGAAGCCTGCGTTGCTAAGCAACACGAGAGGCACACGAGAGGCACTTCAGTTGGCAACCGATTGTACGCAACTTCGTGCATTCGTGTACGTGTCCACAGCGTACTCACACGCGACACGGGATCGAATCGACGGCACAGTGTCGGAAAGATTCTATGAGACCCCAGCGCCACCCGACGCTATCATCAAACTGGCAGAAACATTATCCATCGAGAAATTAAACGCAATGACGCCTACGTAAGTCGTTTATACATGTAATCATCGCACCACGAATCTTACACAGAACATTCAAAACAGGATAATTATAATTATGATGAACATATACATACATAAGTAGTTTTTATACGCACTGTAATAGATTTTGGCCGGTGAATTACAATTTTGTCACGTTCCAGTGGACGTAAAGTCAGCCGTGAAGTTTGGTAGCCTCAAACTTACCGTACGATTTTTTGACCTATGATCTTTATGCTTGTTTCTCATTCTTGTTAATAATGTTTGTTTGTTTTAAATTGTTATATTAAGTTGCTATAGAGATAATCTCTTCACTTAAGATGATACATTAAAAGATTCTTCTTCAAATTTTAATGTTTCACCTTAAGTGCAAAGATTAGATAAAAACTTAATAAAATTAAAATGTCAAATTTAGTTAGTCAGTTCCATATAAAAATAAATAATAATAATAGGGACATTTTTTCTTTGGAATTATCTTTCAATACAGTACAGTGTGCTACATAGGACAAGTATTTTTTAATTTTTTTTTAATAAGAAACATTGCCCTTGCTTTAGGATAACATTATCCTGTGTTGTAAGGACGTTTTACAAACATAAATTTCACGTGGACAAACACCCAGATGCGAAACAATTATTTGTGGGTCACACAAATAGTTGTCCCGTGTGGGAATCGAACCCACGACCCCCGACGCCGAAGCCAATACCTTGGCAACTGCGCCACGGAATCCTCTAAAGTAAAGTATTGCTTAAAATGCGAAAAAACAATGCCTATAAAATACTTTGAGATTTTAGTTGGTGTGATTGTGGTTGTGGTTAAAGCGTCTGGGAGTGATTCCGGATGACGTGAGTTCGATTTCCGCAGCGGCGAAAAACTTATCTCCCATTTCTTCTTCTTCTTTAATTATTATGTTTGCTATGAATATTTGGAAAAATTTTACCAGAGCCTGTACAAGCCAACATTTTTAACAATTAAGAGTGGTTATGTGCGGGAAGTCGATGGATGCAGGTGGCTCAGGATCGTACTTCATGGCAGTCTGTGGGGGAGGCCTATGTTCAGCAGTGGACTCAAACAGGCTGAAATGATGATGAATGATGAAGAGTGGTTAACATATTTTGTTTATTACTGCGAGTATTGCGGATTTACTGTCAAAATGCATTGTCTTTCCATAACTATTTTATCTTTTTGCTGTAACTAATTTATTTTAAGTTATTGTATTAAAATACGAATAAATGAATTAACATGAATTAACAATTTCAGGTTGATTAGTGGTTGGCCAAACACTTACACGTTTTCTAAAGCCATAGCGGAGGAAATCGTTCTCAGGAACCACACGAACCTACCCATTTGCGTAGTTAGACCAGCAATTGGTTAGTACGAATTAAAGAAAAGTAATAGTAAACAAATTTACTTGCTTACTTTATTTATATATATATATGTTCGAGATTTAAATATTAACTTACCCAATTTATTCATAGTAACGTGCACATATCGCGACCCAGTCCCAGGCTGGGTTGACATTAGCTGCGCTTTTGGGCCGAGTGGGGTATGTTGATTGATACGATTTATCAAAAAAAAATGTTATTATATAGTCTATAATAGCCAGCCGTGATAGCTCAGTGTCCGGGCGCTCGCCTTTAATTCAATATACTCGAGCAACCTGAGTTCGATCCCCGGTGCCGGCACCAATGAAGTTTTTTAACTTTAAGTGCTGACTTATCACGTGCTCCGCGGTGAAGGAAAACATCGTGAGGAAACCTGCATATTTTCGAAATAATAACAAAAAAAAATATATTTCGAAGATATGTGAAGTCCGCCAACCCGCAGTGGGGCCGCGTGGTGGACTATGCCCCCTCTATATGATATATATGATACCCTCTCTATAGAGGAGCCCTTTGCCCAGCAGTGGGACATGTATAGGCTGTTACTTTACTTTTTACTTTTTATAGTCTATAATTATCTAAATAATATTTTTCAATATTTGTAATAAAAACAGATGTCGGCCGAGTACGTGAACGACGACTAGAAACATTTTATTGCGAACATACAAAACTACATAAGTTTTAAATTTTATAATATGTCACGGTGTAACGCTAGCACTAAGTATTTTATATGTTTTGATAATTACAACACTTCCACTCAAAATATAAATCAACTGAAACCTATAAATCAACAATAAGTTAGGTGTCTAAACTTTAACAATGCCTAAAACATTTAAATGTTTATAAACGTTTTACAGCACCTAAACTTTTAATGAATCAGGAATATCTGATGTATGTACATAAATAATTACTAACATTAACAATATTTTCATTTACCATTATTCAGCAGCCAATTTGAACTCGTTCAATGAGCATTGGAACAAATCTAATTCATTAGCTACTGTATTAAAAGTACAAAACGCGCGAGTCAGTGGTGAAAAACGTAATAAATTAGTCCGTGACTTAGATACAGATAATAGCATCGGCCACCGTCTCCATCTCAAATATCCTTTTGGTACGCATCGCCTCATATTAGCACCTGCAATCTTGCACATCCGATTGCATTGCGCTGCAAGATTAAACTGCAGATCGTTTGGGCAGCAGGCGTGTCGAACTTAATTTGGTTGTAAGAGTGTAAGATGTACGCACGCGCCTCCCTTTCCCGCTTCACTTGCCGCCAAAACATACAGTATAGACTGCTCGGGTTTATACACCGAATGAAATAATATCGAATTCCTCAGCGCATTCTTTATTTGATAGTACCGGCCCACTTTTAGCTATTTATTGTTGATTACAGTTATCTTTCTTAGCTCTAAATTATATCTAAAAAGCCTTAGGGTCAGCTGCTAAATGATTTTTTTACGCGTTTCTGAAAACGATCGTGAGCAAGTGATGACTCTGCTTTAATTTTTGCCCTGCTGCGAGAGAAGGGCTCGTAGTCGCTTCTTATTTGACTATGTTTGTATCTTTTATGTAAATTATATTTTAACTTAATGTCCTTTATTGTTACTATTAGTTTGATCATATTTGTAAGGCATTTAATTATAAAAGTATTTAAAATTAAATTAGGATCAGTAACATTGTACATGTTGCTCGGTTGTCATTTTATAATATAATTGCTTAAAGTCTGCTTTATAAAAATTCTAACGCTTGAACAGTGCTTTATGTGAATCTTCAATTTGTTTTGAGGAGGGACGACCAGCTGAGGATATGGAAATGGAAACAGAAAGTGGAGGTTGTAACGCCTCGTCTCCAAGGTGCACTGTCACATTTTCGCATCCACTTAATACCAGATCCAACTGTTTACCATTACAGTTAGGAATATTATTATATTGTTGTCCAATATTTTACTATCATTTTAACTTCACAAAAAGCTACAAAATATTCATAAATATTGCGAACATTAGAATTACATGAAAATAAATTGAAATCCCCAAAATTACAACATTAATATTTAATACATAAATCATTATCATTAGACTGTGGTGGAATGTAGACAACACAACAAATAAATGAAAAACGTCTGTTAATGTTATGAATAAATTGCAGCTGAGGTTAATTCAAACTTGTATCAGAATTTTGAGCATCTTCAAATTCAGTGCGGTCACTAGGAAAACTCCACACTGCTTTCGCCCATAGGCGCGATCACAACGCGAAGTCGAATAACCAGGCAATGTAGGTAGCCTCAGAGTTATAAATTGATTCATTCAATCCGGTTTCCGTAATGGCATAATAAATCACATACTGATGATTCAAGAAGGACAGAAAATTTTTAGTTTTTATTCTCAAACCTCTTACATCTTGATCTGGCTTGGAGCCAGTTCACAACTAATATGGAGTTTTATTATCCAGTGATGCTGCTACAATTCGATTTTACAGGTACACTGCCGTATTAGAAGCTTCACCCCAGAACTGTTTCGCTAAATGTGCATCAAATAGAAGACAATTCGCCTTTCATATAATTGTACGATTGAATCGTTCACACAATACATTTTTTTGCGGTGTGTATGTATTGGTTTTCTGATGAATCATACCAGCACTGTTAAAACAATCTAGAAACTTTTTATTTCAATACTCTAGCCCGTTCTCACTTTCTTATACTTTGATTGTTCTCTTGGTTTGATTCTCCGCTTGAGTTTTGAAAATTTTGAAATACTTCAGAGTCTCATTTTTTTTGTACCTCATACAATAAACAAATGCCATCCTACTATGATCGTCAACAAAAAACAAGGAGTATTTTGAGCCACCTATACATACAGTCTCTAGGTCTACAGATGTCTGTATGCACAATATCTAGAAGATTAATGCTTCGCTGGCCAGTACTGTAAAACGGCAACAGGCACTTCTTCCCTTCACAGCATGTCCTTCATGTGATTCAAATAATTTTTATTTATGTTCCTAATATGCGATGCTAAGTTGCTAGTTCTGACACGACCGACGCTGCTAAACATTATTTCAACATTCTTTTGACAGAATTTTGAACTTTGAAAGAATGGTAAAAGCATCGCTAACTTCACTCTAGTCGTGACTTGACAAATCCATGTCATAGGAATCCCAGAACGCTCAATTGCCATGATCATACGGGAGAAACGATCAAGCAATCCCGCAAACAGCAACGATCCTGTCCACTGATCATTAATTTCAAAGCCTGTTCCATTGAGATCCAGTGCTATATCGATAAGCTGCGTCACATAAGACTTCATCAAAATGCAATTTTCTCGGCGAATTGAAATCAAATTCCGCAGTGGAATTATCCTTCGTGGAAATCCGTTGTCTTCGAATAAAAGTTTTAGCCTATCCCACAATTCTTTTGAAGATATAACATTCTTCACGTGCACGTGTGTAATTGTCATTATCAATTTCGCTTTTGTTTTTTCATCGTCAGCAGTTTTTATTTCCTTTCCGGATTCTGGTTTCATGAAAAAAAAAAACATGTGCCCTCCAGGATTAAGAAATTCTCTGCCGCGAAACACCATTCGTCGATCGAACGCTGACTAGGTAGTTCGTAGACATTTTAAACTACGATACACTAAACGAGTCCATTGCGATTCTAATAACAATCCGTCATGACACAGTTCAATCGCGTTTCGAAAAACTCTTTTATGCTGACACTGCGAAATACTCATTAAAGATAGAAATCGCGATTAATTTCGAGGGAGGGGTCCATTGCCTGAGAACGTGAACGACGACTAAAAACATTTTATCTCGAACATAAAAAATTACATAAGTTTTAAATTTTATAATATGTCACGATGTAACGCTAGTACTAAATAGTTTCTATATTTTGATAATTACAACAATATTACACACATTGATATACAAATGTGTCCTGTCGGAAATTTTTGTAACATACATATTGTAACTGAACCCCCCTTCATGCATATATAATTATATAAAATTATATATTTCTGCCCCATTATATGAATAAATCATATAACATCATTACGTGACCAAGATAATTTATTGATCTTTCTATAGGATCTTTCTAAAGGTAATAATTAGCCGTATGAAATATTATTGTGATCGTCATATTCGGTAGGACCTCATTTACGTTGTGTTTATTTAGTAACTTGATTCTTTTAGGTGTATCTTGGATAGATAATTATTCACTAGTCGTGGTATAAGCCAGAGATAATGCCAGATTGCTTTCTTATTAACTAATAATCCCGACTCGCTTGAGACAGGCTCAGAGTATATAGTATACTCCCTCTCACGCTTGTAAAGGGCTCACAATATAATTTTAAACTAATATCCCTTCTCCACGGCTCCATGAAAACACTCACCAACGCCGTGTGCGGCGAGCGCCAACCAACATATTGCGCCCCCCCCCCCCCCCCCCCCCCAGAAGAGGGACAAAAAGTTGGGGAAAGGACCGAAGTCCATTGCAAAGCTATTTTACCAGCATAAAGAGGGCTTGGCCCCTTGGCAGTGCGTAAGCACAAACTTTGACCGAAGTCGCGCATGTCAATGCGTGTAAACGTCATACAAGTCAACGACAAATCCAGTCTTCGTGAATGTACGTCAATACGGTTTTGGGCATGTGTTAAAGATCAGGTACTCTGGCTCTATGATATAATAAGCCCTCCGTAAGCGCCACCACTTTTGCCAGATCGCCGCGACTGCAGACGTGATTGTTAGTGTTTTGGCATCACCACCATTAAAAAGGTTAGCACGACATTTCGTCGCAGAGCGCGTTATGAGTCACTGCTCACCCCAAGGGTATGGTTAAAACGTTGCACGGCATCGCCGCAGCCTTGAGAGGTTTTCTCCCGCCAGCTACCATCCACATGAGGTAAACGCATATGCTCCACCAACCATTGAAATAGTCAGATATAGCCATAGTTGTGATTTTTATGTTTAGCCATTCAGAAGGGTTTATAATTGGCAACATATTTATTTGTCAGTGTCTCTGACGTTGAGTATAGTGTATTTTCGATCAAGTTTGTCTCACCCACCAGCTAAGTTGCCATTATTCGTGTTCAAACGGTGGGAACTTTACTGAGATTCGTTAATAATGATAAAACGTATAAAGAGGTCAAACAGTCTGCAGTTCCGTCATCAGGAACCCGACTTGGACAAATCTACTGAGATGTGCATCAAACCGAGACGCAGACTCGGCCATTATGAATAGCGTCGTCTCCCAAGCAAATGTCGCAAGACGCAATGTCACTAAATGCAACATGCATCAATACAACTATCGCAGGTCAACACGCCAACATACAACCTATCCGCATACACAGCAGACATCATCACCTCGAACCTCCGCCAACCAGAATCATACGATGTAATGATATTAGACGCAGATCACCCCGCAACTACCACAAGACGCATTACTGCATATAGCCGCACGCATCAATGTGACTATCGCGTAGGCGGCGCACCCTCACACCACACCAATACAACTCCAATCAACTTCGGCTCCAAAGTTTAGAATATACTCAGAACACACGAAGTGTCCAAACATACTCTTTCACGATCCGAATGATAGTCGACGTATCATAGCGTAACCACTAAGACGCCAACCACCAACGGACCCCCACCCAGTCAAGTAATAGCCAACGTATCATAGTGGAATGCACTAAGACGCAAGCCACCACCAGACTCCCCAAAGTCAGATGATCAGTCGACGTATCATAGTGCAACACACTAAGACGCCAACTACCACCAAACTCTTACTATGCCGAATGACAGTCAACGTATCATAGTGATGGTCACTAAGACGCCAACTACCACCAGCTATCGATGATATGTCCACCACTGAAGACATATCCATTCATGGTTCCACGTTTACCGTAGACCATATCGTCGTACAGAAGTACCATGCAACTCCATAGTAATATGTCTTATAAAGTCCCAAGTCATTCATTGCTCTTCATTATATTTATATATTTATTATTTTTTCTCTGAGCCTTCACATATTATCACTTTTATTCATTAGACCTTACTTCCATATGATATTGGTATGGGACGTTCATACAATGTACTTTGACTATAGTACTAAGAGTCGCGATCGACCTCTGTACTTATATATGTACGATCATACAATTGTGTCCCCGCACGGTACATAATACTTCCCTTAGAAATCACTAAGTATGGAATTGTATTTAATTGACATAATAGTGATCGTATCTTGCTATATTTTTAATAAATATCCTTTTTTGAGTATTTTAAGTGATTTTTAACAATTTTTTATCAATTTTTGGTAATATCATTTTCTCATACTAACACTTATATTTCTTAAATTTAAGTATATATTATTAACTGTTATTGTGATTAAACGGTCTTAAACGTTTTATTTTCTTCTTAATTATGATTAATTAATAATAACGTTTATTATTATTAATAGGTCGTTACAATATGTAATTTGTGTAAGAATGAAATAAAATTATCTAATAGGTAAATTTAACACATTTATTCTTATGTGTAATTTTTATTTTCAGTTAATTTTGGGTATGGGATTAGGACTCATGCATGTCGCACTTACGGACCTGAATGTAAGAATAGACCTTGTTCCCGCCGATATCGTGAACAACACGATAATCACAGCAGCTTGGGAGACAAACTGCAAAGCCATAGTACAAAAAAGGCACCAGTCCCCGATGATTTACACAGTCAGTAGCTCCAGGAATGGATTACAGATAAGTAAGTAGTTGCAGTTCAAAAATTGCAAACTCCTTGAAAAGTTACAAGTGAAACTTAAGTTTTCCTTATTTTGTTAAAGTTGTATTCTTATTGTATTCAGTAATTATTTCGACACAAGCAATTTATACTAAGCTAACTCATAAAACTGTACTTTAAAGCATAGACTTTAAAGGGGAAAAAGTGATAACTTTTTAATTTATTAAGAAATTTGTCTGGTCCTTAATAGTTAATTCCTCAATAAGATTTTACAGGTTTCGTAGTATGATACGTGAGATCACAGCGCTATTTTTAAGAAGCGCTATTTTTATTGCGTTCTATTAATAGTTTTCAAATACACTATGCATTAATATCACATTAGGTTAAAATATGTAGAAAAAGTGCGAAAAGATTGTCGCCGCTGTGGGAATCGAACCCAAGTCTTCGGCATTCGCGGCCTGACGCTCTAGCCACTGAGCTAAACGGCTAAACGGCTGATTGCCACACCGACGAAAATCTTAACGTATTCTTCTACGTTGTTTTCTTAGGATTTAAAGCAATGCTTGGCGCCATCTATTGTTATATCCTTTCCAGCATACAAACAATTTCGAAAATCGTTATACAACGATAATTCGATCGAGAGATGTCGCCATTGCTTTTTTTTAAGAAATTCAAATGCTAAGAAAACAATGTAGAAGAAAACGTTATGATTTTCGTCGGTGTGGCAATCAGCCGTTTAGCTCAGTGGCTAGAGCGTCAGGCCGCGAATGCCGAAGACGTGGGTTCGATTCCCACAGCGGCGACAATCTTTTCGCACCTTTTCTACATATTTTAATGTTCAATCTTAAGTGCAAAGATTAGCACTATAAACAATTTAAATTTCATAACATTAGGTTTCTTAATTTTATTAATAGTGCTCTGCATTTAAAATTAAACATAAAAATTTGTAGTAAAAGTACGAAAAGATTGTCGCTGCTGTGGGAATTGAACGCACCACTCCGGCATTCGCGGCCTGACGCTTTAGCCACTAAGCTAAACGGCTGATTGCCAAACCGACGAAAATCTTAGACTTAGAAGAAGTATTTTGTGTGTGAAGTCACCCCGACTTAATTATTTTCGCACTTTCAGAGACGGTGCAGCAAAATCTAGAACTTCTTAAAAAGAAAATTGTATTTTCCAAAGCCATTTGGTATTGTTTTGCTATTATAACGAAATTTAAGCTATTATACAAATTGATCACTATATTTTTGCACTACATACCCGCTTACATCGTTGATGGAGTTTGTCTTTTGCTGGGAAAGCCGAGAATGTAAGTGTACGGACAATATTCAATTACTGATAAATTATTTGTAAAGGCATTTTACGTTCTATTAATTATAAATTAGTGTCCGAGAGGATGCCGGGAAAGCATTTGATTTGATTTGATTAAAGTTTTAAATTTCTAATAAGTTTTCTCGTTCGATGTCGAGAAAAGGTAGGTAAGTTTCTATTGCTTTTCGACGAAAAACTATCGTCATTTCAGCTAATTCTGCATAGTTTAGATGTTTAGTGATCTCAAAGAAGAATGGCGTGAAGTGGAAGCGTTATACTTCTGCGTACCGTCTGGTGAGTGAGGTGACCGGGGACTACTTTATTAAAAGGTGGCAACGCATCTGCAACCCTACGGGTGTTGCAAATGTCCGTGGGTGGCGGTTATTACACAACAGCCAGTGAACCGTCAGGTCATGTGTATTTTAAATAAAACAAGTACCAGACGTTTAATAAGGTTTAAATGAAAACATCTTAAAGTTTTTTCAATAGTTTCATTTAATGTATACATATCATTTAGTGTATACATTAAATGTAACTACAGGCAAATTTTGGCTATTGTAGTAAATCAATACCTTCACATTTCCTATCCAGGTTGGTGAAAATTTATAAAAAAGTGGATAAACTAAGTTACGCATTGAGTTATTTTACAACAAACCAGTGGACCTTCGAAGATCAAAATACGCAAAACTTATTCAAGAACCTCTCACCCGTTGACAAACAGATTTTTGATATGGACATAACGGCCGTCGATTGGGAAAAGAAAATTCGCATTTGGACCTTGGGTATACGGAAGTATTTGGTGAAAGATAGCGAGAAATCATGTGATTACGCCATCAAAAAACAGAAATTGTTTAAAATTATGAATTTCATTGTATCAGTTCTCTACCTCTACGTCATTTGGAAATTTATCAAGCTTTGTTTTAATTTATACTGAAAGTTTGCCTAGATTTTTTACTAAAATTTAGCAATATTTTTAAATAAATGAAGATATTACACATGTCTGATTTATACTAATTGTATTTCTATCACTACATAGTATAAAATGTAATCTTAGATCTTTAAAAGTACGCAACGGAAGTTGATGCGATTTTTTTACTAAACAGAGTGATTCCAGAGGAAGTTTTATAATTATGTATAATACATTTCATTAGTGCGATGCCGGGGTGGGTAGCTCTTGTTATGTATATACCAATATGGTAATAATAATGCTGACTTAGCTATTGGTGAACAAAGTGATGTTTACCTTCCTTGCTATTCTCTTTTCGACTCTTCTTTTGAGGACAGCTTTCATAGCTTCCTTTGTGTGGATTTCTAGGAACAGTTTCGTGATGCAGTTAAAAACTTTAATGCCTTGCATATCAAAACACAAAGTGTACCAGCTAACTACAACTATGTGATCGCTACTTTTGACAATAAAAATATTCAGTCACTTTCACGTTGTCTTAATTCTGGAAACCTTCCTTCATCCCTGTATCCCTTCTACGTTCTTCTCCCTGCCGTTATCCGTAATGATAGCTCCGGTATTTCACATGGTGGCGAAGCCATGTATTTTAGAACCTTTCTTCTTTCTTTACTCCTTGGTGTATGTAGTACAGTGCCTTTTTAAAGTAAATTTTTTCCCCTTTTTTGAACAACTTCTTGACGAGAATACTCCGCCCTTCAGCCACACCATAGCCACTCTTAAAAATAATGCGCGTCCTCGCAGCTTCCGATCCATTATAAACTCCAGTAATCTTCATCTACTTCATTCATCGGCAACTAATTTATTTTATTTATACGACGCATTTATGAATGACCGCATTGTTAACAAGTGCCGTTTTGTTTTTAAAAAAAGTTTGTTTTATTTCAATAAACGATTACACTACCGAGTCGGAACCTTCTGTGTGAATTTGGGCAACTGTAGAAAAGCCTCCCTGTATAATATATACTTATATAATTGAATCCCTATTTCCCTTTGTCTTTTTTTTGTTGTGTTTGTTATTATCAGAAGAAGGTTCTTATGAAAGAAGAAATTTAAAAAATTGCCTGAAAGAGTCGAAAAACAACACTTCTATATTCCCGTACAAAAGATTCGTAAAAGTCAATGTAAACTTTAATACCATACTGTAAAGTGTTAGTGGAGGGGTTCCGGGAAGTCAAAACAAGTGAGTACTGTGGTAAAATGTCACTTGAAATGTAAACGTCTCTTTGCTGTGCATCACTACATAGTATAAAACAAAGTCGTACCGCTGATTCAAGTCAATTCGAGAATGGTTTAGATTTTAGATTAACAATTCGGTCCACTACATGTTTTTATTATTTATAATATGTCGGATTTAAGTCGTGTGTACAGGACAACGTCTGTTCTGTCGGGTCCGCTAGTAATCATATAACTCTGTTGCAATTAAGACGGTCCTTTTTACTGACCACGACTTTTTATCCACACGATTTATAAGAATAATTTTGTATTTTATTCATAGCTCACGCTGTACACACACAACTCTCGTAAATAAACTATATTTTTTTAACTTAAGGCACTGTATTCAGTGAATTTTTAACTATTTTGGTGGTGAAGTATGAGGAAGCGGAGGAGGGGTAACGTCGCTTAGCGGCGCGCAGCGCGCGAGTTTCGTCGATGCGCCGCTAGACCAAGTCATTCATTACCTAGTGTGTGTGTAGTGATGGGCCGTAGGATACTATCGATAGTATCATGGAAGGCTTTCGAAAATGTACACAGATGATCCCTATAATATCTTTTATGGACCATGATTGTATTTTACTTTTATATTATAATAGGAATAATAATAAACAAACAAATATAAAGTATGAGAAAGCAATCAACAATTTTAGAAAATCTTCTTCCTGTTTATTAATATTTTTTTAATTAAATGGAAAAGGAATTGATTTAAAATACATCTTAAAGTCAAATAAATTAATAAAGGCAAATTACTTATAATTATTATTTTTTGTTTTTATGGTTTATATTGTGAATTTATTTAAATTTTTGCAGAAATTACGAATATAAATTTAATTATATATAAATATATTACATTTTTTTCGAAATTTTGTTAATTTGCACAGACCTCGCGTAGCCTGTTGGTCCGAGCGTCATACACAACGGTAAACTATTCCTGTAGTCCCAAGTTCAAACCACTCATCGAGTGGAGTTGTACTTTTTATATTATTTTCACTTTTATTTTGTTAGCCAACTAATTATTATGTTTTTATTTTTATAAAATGCCTAAATTTAGGAAATAAGAAAATTATAAAAAATTATAAAATTGTAATTATTTATGAAAAGAAAAAAATAACAATAATTAATTTAGAAATAATTCCAAATAAAAAAATCAACAATAAGTACAACAAAAAATTAGGGATTTGAACCCAATCCATAAAGAACAATGGTCCTATACACTGTATGAGTAGGACTGATAGACCAATCAATCACGAGATAAGATATTGAAATTATGCTTTAAATTAATTAATTAAAAACTGTTAATACATACAAATGATTTATAAATACGAAATATGTGAATATATATTTTTTAGTTAAGTGTTTTTGAAGGTCTAATAAAATTAAAACTCTCAATAATAAATAAAAACGAAACATATTTCGTAACGGTGAGTGGGCGATGAGCGGTATAGATCCATATAGCAAGGCGCCTCAGCGCTCTCTGTTCAATTCAACATGTGGAGTTGGAAGAGAACCGAAACAACGCCGCGGTGGCGCGGTGTTTTGGCCATCGCGTTCGGATTAATTTTAATGAATTAAATTAATATCTTACTTCAATCAACAAATTAAGACCACAATCTTTTTTATTAATATATTCTACACCACTGATATTAATTTCATTAAGATTTGTTCATTTATTATATGTATTTTTTTATTTGAATTTCACGTAAGGTAGGTTCGTGATTTTTTTCTATCGAGAAAATATATCGAGCATATGTTTTGAAAACAATGGTACATTAGAATGTAAGATCAAGATTAACATATATTTTTTTTTGCTTCTATGAAATGTATAGATATTGTTAAAATTTTTTTTGAAAAACCTATTTAAACTGCAAAGAGCGCCTTAATTGTGCTTCCGTTTGAAGCCGTTACTTCCGTGCAAAAAAGATCTGAGTTACTCCCATGTCGCGCCTACAGAAGTTTTACTTAAAAATTTTGATGTGATATTTCGTTATATAATAACGTTGGTGCAAAAAAATTTTCTGTAATATGCTATCAAATTTTTACGACGTCATAACTGGCAAATATTAATTGAATAAAAACACCGACTAGTGATTATAGACAAAAAGCTAAGTTCACATGTTTTTGCTTTATATTATCTACTATGATTATTTAATTTAAATACCGATAAAAATAAATACATAAAAAGGGGTCATCAATATGCATAAATTAATATGTATTGACATAATTATGCATTGGCAACGAATTGTATGCAAAAAATGACCTTATAATTCTTAAGAGTTTTTCAGCAGTAGTTTTGTACTATTTAAATAAATTTTCGTAAATGGATTAGTTTAATCAAACGTTAAATTTCAGCAGTAAAGTTGATTAGGGTGAGTTGTAGAAGAATTTTCATAGTTAAAGCAATTTTACTCTTGTGGTGGTAACTTATAGGCTAGTAAATTATTTGCAAATATGACGGTATGTAAATAATTATCGATTTAATAATTTTTTGGTATACCTGTTACTGCTCTGAACGACAAATGGAAATGAGGCGTTTATAAAATCTATAGATGGATTAGAAAAAAATCACAGGATACCTCGCCGCTCATATCATTTATTTAGATTTGAGGGACACCAGATGAATAAAAATTTCCCTTTTTTTTTAAATTATTTTTGAGTTCATTATTTTATTTTAATAAAACGGTTCAAGATGTTCACTTTAACTACTTAATTGAAATGACAAAAATAGTTAAAATTTAAAATAAAGTATATCTTTTGCATGAACGACAAAAAACGCTGCTGTAGTTAAGTAATTCAATTGATTGTGTTGTATATTGATGTGACAGACAGACAATCACACCGGCTGTTTACCTATAAGAAGAAAATTTAGCTTTCTTCTAAAAGTTTTCTGAGTGTTACATTTGAATTTATTTCAAATGTAACACTTTCTGTCAGTCTGTTCGTTGCCTTTTCACAACAAAACTTTTGAATCGATTCCAATGAAATTTGGTATATATTTAGCTAGAATTGTGATACACGACATATACTATTTTAACATTAACACAATTATTCATTACTCGAGTAGTAATATAATTGTTTATTGGAATAAAAACAATTTTTTTTGCTTCAAATAAATCCCCTAAAAACAGAACTTATTGACAATGCGGTAGTCATTCATAAATGCGTCGTATACTTTTGAAAGGAACTTGTGTGCGTGTTAGAGTAAGATAAATGAGATAAATGAGTTACCCATAAATCACGCACTTTTTGAGATAAGTTCAAATGAATATATTTAATTAATTAGGAGTGATTTTAAATATTTATCATTTTCATATAGCATTATTTATGTCTAGAATTTAATAAAAAAATTGATACATTAAAACAGGAACTTTAATAGTTTGAAAAAGTAACGTGGCAAACGCAAAAGTGGAAAAACTACATTTTCAAATAAAGTTGACAAATTCTGTTAATCTGACAGTTTATACTCTAAATCTAACATTTAAAAACTGTTAGTTTTAAAGAAATGTAAAATATACTATGTTATAATGCAATTTTTACACTTTGGCGTTCGAAGCCCCAGTTAAGTTACTATTTATTTAGGTAAATGTAAATAACTTTAACTCCGGCGTAATTCAAATCAAATAAATTTTAAGCGATAGAGATAAATCTCTAATGAATTAATCAACAAGCAGAATTCGGCGGTCGCTTACAGTTTTAGAGAAAAAATATTTAAAACTTGTTTTTTGTACTAAGAAATCCACCATTTTATTTGTTTGACTTCAAAAACTCAACAGTTCTGCCAACATGATAAATATAGGAAGCGGGCGACATCATACACCTATCGATATTCCGATTTTTTTTAATTTAATGAGTCACAGAACCGACACAGAGCGAATCCGACTCAGATAGATTAGGCTAGAAGGTTCGTCACACCTTCGATGTTAGGTTTTTTTATGACCACCAAGAAATACGAGCTGAATTGAAATATTGACAACAAAAAATTGGCGGATTTCTATAGTAAAAATCACACTATTTTATTTTTTCGAAAACTATAAGCGACCGCCGAATTCTGCTTGTTGATAAATTCATAAGTGATTTTTCTCTATCGTTTAAAATTTATTTGATTTGAATTATATATCATCGGCGGGTAGAGGACACTCACACTCTTCCAGAAATGGTGCAAACGTTCTCCAGGTTCGGGGAAAATTTTACGAAATCGTGCCTCAACCAGATAACCAATGAAGTCCACATTTAAAATATTTAACAGTATTTACAAGAACTCCATGACGACACAAAAAATTAGAAAGGGGTAAACGATCTGATTCTGATTTGAATAAAATTTTATAAAAAGAATAAAAACTTAAATTACAATATGTACATAAAATATCACTACTACTAGTAGACACACACATATTATCCGTCATTGCAAATACGAATAATCACTATTCTATTGTTTTTAAATAATGAGCGGGAAATACTTCCGGTTTAAATTTAATATACGATTAGGCACCGAAAAAATTATATACAGCCAATATACTAATATCGATTTTGAAACTCGATTATAAATTTTATTAAATCTTGGTTAAAAGCTCTTAACTTATTAATAACTAAATATGAATGTATTATAAACTAAATATAATAATGAAATTACATTTTTTATATTTATTATTTTTATTTATTTTCATTACAAAGCTTTTAAAATCTTCATCTTTAACTTATTTGTTGTTTTATGTAAAAATAATAAATATTCAAAATTAATTACTTCTTTATAAAGTTTGACTCTTCCACGTGCTTCGCCAGAACACTCGCTACGTCGCCCCTGATTGACGCTTCACCCACTCAGGACCTCCGACGCGAGGTTCTGGCTCCGCCTTATTATGTTCACTCTAGGGGTAGGGACCACAAGACCACATGGAGTCGGGGTGCTCTGTGTTGGATCTGGGACTTATTTTGAACCTTATCTAATCGGAAAAGGGTCCGTGATAAATTAAAAAGATGCAACCATAAACCTAACCATTTAGTAAATAAATGTTAAACCTAATTTAGCTTATTTCACAGTAATTTAAATTGTAAAAAAATGTAATTGATGTATAATCGATATAAAATTTAAAAAAATGTCCATAATATTTCAATATGAATAACGTAGCGTTGTTGACTTTTTTGTTTCATATTGTTGGTTTATTTGGTATTGGCGCCTAATATTTAAGAGTTTTCTTGGATTATAACCTAAACTATATTTGATTATTAACATTTCTCTATCGATTAAAATTTTTTTAAAATGAGACATTGATTGAAATATTTAGGAAAAAAAAAGTTAATGGAATAATCGCTAGGACATGACGTCGCCCGCTTCCTATATTCATGATGTTGTCAGAACTGTGTATTAATTACGTTGGCGAATGGCGGACTTTGTTAGTGAAAATAACAAGTTTTAAATATTTATTTCTCGAAAACTATAAGCGACCGCCGAATTCTGCTTGTTGATTAATTCATTAGTGATCCCTCGCTATCGTTTAAAATTTATTTCAATTGAATTACGCCGGAGTTAAAGTTATTTACATTTACCTTTATTTATTTCAAACTATTAGCGTTCCTGTTTTCTTTTTTCCGTGTGTATTAAGCCAACATATTTACAGATATATAGACATAAACGTGTAGGATATAATTATATTTTATACACAGCACAGGATAGGATTTAAAATTAAAATATGCATAATAAAAATGAAAATCAAATATATTATTGCACTTGTGAATTGAAATTACAATTTTATTCTTCGAGCTTTTTGTTCAGCAAATAAATCTATGACCTTGTCCTAATTTAACTCGTGTGCAATTCAATTTACTATCGCTAAGATAGCAAGACTCGATAAGCCTACCTGCCTCATTGAACATCGCATATAATTTTTAATTAGTTTTAGTTTGCTAAAACTTCGCTCACAGCTTTCAGCTGTAGTGGGAAGCGTAGAGTAAATTCGCAGGGTAATACAAATATTAGGTCCTTACATATGAAATTGGCGTTGTGAACGGGAGGAATATAGTCATTTTTTTTTGCAAAAATATTTAATTAATCAAAGTATGCACCGTTGTTATCTATTCGCTTTTGCCATCTCAAAGGTAGTTCATTGATACCTTTACTAAAAAAAAATGGAGACGTGAATTAATAAACTATTTGAAGGCGGTTAGGGACTGCCGCATCAGAGTTGAATTTTTTTCCTTGTAAGAAGTTGTCCAAATTCCGGAAAAAATGGTCCGGGGTGTACGGTGGATGCAAACATTCCAATTGAAGCTCATCTAACTTAGTGGTTATTTGTTGTGAAGTCTGTCGTCTTGCGTTGTCGTGAAGCAGCAGTCGCCGAGAGCGATTGACCAATCTCGGTTGTTTAGCAGCTAGTTCTTCCTTCATGGTTTGCAGTTGCTGACAATAGATATCTGATGTAATCGTTTGGCCAGATTTAGGCGCTAGTCCACCAAACAATGACAAGTAACTTTTTCTTAGTCGATTTTCGTTTAGCTGGCTTTCGATTGGGCTGGGTCTCCAGGGTTCAGCCATTGTAACTAGCGCTTCCGATTATCGTACAGTAATCACTTTTCATCACAAGTAATGATTCGATTTAAAATCCCTTTATTATTGTGTCGCTTGTGCAAAGTAACACAGCAGTCGACACGTGTTTGCCGATTCACTCAATTCATGAGGTACCCATCGTTCAAGTTTTTTTACTTTCCATTTGTTTTTTTACTTTACGATTTGTTTCAAGTGGATTAATACAGTTTTATCACTTACCCCGCAGCCTACAGCTATCTCTGAAGTGCTTTGTGATGGATCCGCTTCCACAATAGTCTTTAATTCTTAATTTTCCACCGGTGGTCTCCGGCCGTCCACGGGGTCCACTTCAGAACCAAGTTCGAAATTTCCAGAACGAAAACGTTGTAACCAAAAACATACCGTGCTTTCTTTTGCGACACTAGCGCCGTGCATATCATTAATGCTTCGAGCTGTTTCAGCAGCACTTGTGCTACGGTAGAACTCGTACTCGTAAATATACCGATATTTTATATTTTGGATTGTGCGGTATGGAATGAATTTATAAATTTGAATTTAGAAGTCTTAACCATAGGAGATATTTCAGATCAAAGTCGTCAGTATGACAAAACGCTAATTTCATATGTAAGGATATTAGGAAAAGCATCCTGCAAATCATGGGCATAGATCTGTTGCAAGAGATAGACAGCGCCTAGCGAATAATAATGTTCGTGCAGCACGTCTCACTCGGCGCTCTGGGTCGATCGGTCGAGTTGTTAGGGAAAAATTGAGTAAATTATGGGTTGTCCATTCGTCTGTAAAATGTGAATTTGCCGCCCTCTGATCTTGCCGCCCGGGGCATTGGCCCCGGCTATTCTCCCAGCAGGTAATAATAGCGGCCAACGCAATGGGTGAAACGCCTGTTCAAAAGTTCTACGAAGGCAGTGTTGTGTTTGTAACAGGAGGCACCGGTTTTCTGGGAAAACTTTTAATAGAGAAGTTGCTAAGGTAGAATTTTTATTCTTTAATGTATTTTTTTCTATAATATATTTTATTCTTGATGACACTAAAAAGAGCTAAATGAATAATATGTCCCATATGATATGTTTTTCATTCAATTGTTGTATTCCTTATATTTTCTAAAACTTTCAGGACTTGTGCTCCAAGTAAAATTTACGTTTTAATAAGAGAAAAAAAAGACAAAGGGCCAAAAGAACGATTGAATCAAGCATTAAAAGATCCGGTGAGTCCAAGTACTGAAATAAAAAAAATCTAACACCTAAAAACAATGTCATTTTATGTGTAAACCGATATTAATCCCTAAAAATAATTTCAGTTATTCGACGATTTGCGGAAACTAAGAGTGAATTGGAAAGAAAACATTTATCCAGTACAAGGAGATATCAGTGAAATCAAATTAGGAATAGACGACTATGATTGGGAAACATTGAGGCAAGAGGTGACTTTGTACATTTCATTAAAGTTAAAATCATTCTTTTTAAGTTTAAATATTATGATACATAACCATAAACATTTTGATGACTCTGTGGTACAGTTGCCAAGGTATTGGCTTCTGCGTCGGGGGTCGTGGGTTCGTGTAAAACGTCCAATGTTTTTTATTTAAACTAAAAAAAAATCGCCGCCCATAGACATTTGCAACAACCGTAGGGTTACAAATGCGTTGCCACCTTTAAATAAAGTGGGTCCCGGCTACCTCAGTCACAAGACGAAAAGCAGAAGTGTTGTAACACTTCTACTTTACGCCGGCCTTCTGCGAGGTCGTGGTAATTACCCGGACGGACATGCCCAGTCGTGCAACAGTGAAAACTGTTGCGTGGACCTACCACAGTTAATTCATACACTTCAGTACACATATTCGAAACACTACACGTTATAGCTCGCTGAGGAACTTAAAGCGTTGAACAAGATCGGAGACTAATAATACACGCTAGTTAAAAACTAATTTTTTTAAGTACTTGGGAAGTTCGGACATGAAGATGTATCTTAAATTGCTGTTCAATCTTATTGGCTTCTCATTCTTTACTAAAACCTGGTACAATACCTTATACCGGCAACCAATATCACAGCGGTTGTGCGCCAACAAAGCCTAGAATGCAGTGGCTCTATCGCAATGCGGTGTTTACCTGCAGCCAAGTTTTTCTCAAATTGATACAAAATAAATGATCAAGAGTATAAACCAAACCCCCCAATTCAACCCGCATTCACACGAAGACGTATTTCAGTTACATACAATGTTCAGTCAATATGTAGTCAAACCAAAAACTTGCTTGCTCAAGATATCTTGTAAGCAACTTTATGAATCAGATAAAATTATAGATCTATTTAGTTGATGAGATTCAATATAAGGCACGGCTTCTAAAATAGCTATTGCTTCTCCAGTAAAAACAGAATATTGAGAAAGGCATTTAAAGTTCAATATAATTTTGTACCTTGGTATCCAGACAGCAGCACCCACATCTACATTACATTAACAGGTTCAATTTTTTCGTGCACGCCATCCGAACCTTCCTGTCGGCGCCTCAGGGGCTCGCCTCACGACTGGCGTTCCACAAGGCTCCTGCCTCTCGCCCTTGCTTTTTACGCTCTACACGAGCGACATACCAAGATACCCGCACGTCAATCTTGCGCTTTTTGCGGATGACACGGCGCTCTTTTACACAGATAGAAATCTTAATCTACTCACTACTCGTCGTCAAAGCGCCACCGACCAGCTCGGCGATTGGTTTCGCAAATGGAGAATAGAAGTAAATCCCGAAAAGAGTGTGGCGATTTACTTCACACGAAGTACTTACCCGTCACATCTTTATAAAGGCCCTTGCCAGTGCAGAAAGCTAGGGCAAATGTCTCTCTATAGCCAATCTCTCCCCTGGGAGAAAAAGGTCAAATATCTAGGAGTCACTTTCGGCTCACGCATGACGTTCACGTCGCATATTAACGAAATTAGAAACAGAGCCGCGTTCGTCTCCGGCCGGCTCTATCAACTAACCAATGCGTTAAGTAAAATGCCCTTAAGGCCGGCGGTGTTTAAGATTTGTTACGCTTTACACTATATGACATATATAAGTGAATGTGACAAATGATATAGAACGTGAGATACGGAAAGAGGTAGCAATTTATAGAATCAATTTACACCAATTGGTGTAATTTGAATGATTCAATTTCGGTACGGTAATGTCATATCTTTGTATATATGACATTAGCGTACTAATGTCATATCATTGGGTGTAATAAACCGTTTGTATTTACGAACAGGTGAATGTGATATTTCACATGGCTGCGAATGTAAGGTTTGATGTAGAGTTGAAGGCTGCGTTGCTAAGCAACTCGAGAGGCACACGAGAGGCACTTCGGCTGGCAGCCGATTGTACGCAGTTGCGTGCATTCGTGTACGTGTCCACAGCGTACTCACACGCGACACGAGATCGAGTCAACGGCACAGTGTCGGAAATATTCTATGAGACCCCAGTGCCACCCGACGCTATCATCAAACTGGCAGAAACGTTACCCGTCGAGAAATTAAACGCGATAACACCTACGTAAGTCATTATATATATATAGTCATCACACCACAAACCTTACACAGAAAAAACAAAATAAAATAAATACTAATATGATGAACAAAATACATTGAGTAGTTTTCTGAATAGATACCCTCTGATTATTTTACCAAGCTGGTTCTTAATAAGCAATATATATAATATTTGGACAGTAACGGGAACGTAAATATCACCAAAGTCAGCCATGAAGTTTGGTGGCCTCAAACTTGTCGGAGGAAATTTTTGATTTATGTATGCTCTTTAAGTTCGTGCTTGTGGGGAAGTTGTGAACCCCCCCGTAAAAGAGAGGTGTGCGGAAATGTATAGTTTCTGGAATGCAATGTAATAAAACCTATGCAATGTTACTATCGTGGTATTTATTTAGAAATAGGCCCTAGGTAGTGGAGGGAAATGTTTGCAGGAGTATGTATTCAGTTTTTGAAGTAAAATTAATAAAATGGTGTACTTTTTAAGTGAAAATAACAAATTTTTAAATATAAGTTTTTCTCGAAAAATGTAAGCGACCGGAGAATTCTGCTTGTTAATCAACAATTTCATTAGTGAATTTTCTGTATTGTATAATTTTTTTTTAATTAATTTCTCGAAATCTATAAGTTTCCGCAGAAAATCATACTAGTATTTACTTTAATAGCCTATTACTTAACTATTAAAATTATAACGAAAATCGTGCTACCGTATACTAAAGCAAAGGCCAATTTCAGGTTGATTAATGGTTGGCCAAACACTTACTCGTTTTCTAAAGCCATTGCAGAAGAGATCGTTCGCACAAACCACATGGACCTGCCCATTTGCATAGTTAGACCAGCGATTGGTTAGTACGAAATAAAGAAGCGTAGCATAAAATTTTTATTGCTTACTACATATATACCTATAATCGAGATTTAAATATTAACTTTCCCAATATATTTATAGTAACGTGCACTTATCGCGAGCCAGTCCCAGGCTGGGTTGACCTTAGCTGCGCCTTTGGGCCGAGTGGGGTATGTTAATTTATACGATTAAACAAAAGTAAATATTTTCAAGTTTATCTAAATAATATTCTTCAATGTTACACACGTTCATATTAAAGTTGATGATATCCTGTGAGAGTTTTTTAATTCTGCGTATGTAATTGTATATGAATTAAATTAAATAATCTAATCTGTAAATCTAACACATTTATTCCTGTCATTTTTATGTTCAGTTCCTTTTGGGGTTGGGCCTTGGACTCATGCATGCCTCGCTTGTGGACCTGAATGTAAGAATAGACTTTGTTCCCGCCGATATCGTTAACAACACGACAATCGCAGCAGCTTGGGAGACAAACTGCAAAGGCATGTTACGAAATAGGAACCAGTCCCCAATGATTTACACAGTCACTAGCTCTAGGAATGGATTACTGCTCAGTAAGTTGTTGCAAGATCTAAGTTTTTTTATCTAAAAACTTTAAAAAAATTGTTTCATTTCGTGTCCAATCCGACTGAGCCAGTAATCATTTCGCCACCAGCAATTTATACTAAGCTAACTCAGAAAATAGTACTTTACAGTAAAAGCTTATTAAGGGAAAAACGTGATAACTTTTGTATTCATTAAGATATTTGTCTTAAATTTTGGTTAACCTTAATAGTTTCACTGTTTTTCCCACATTAATTTTTTCTTAATTATTTATATTTTTTGATTTAGCACGAGTTAGCCGTATATATGTTTCAGTTAAAACCTGTTCTTAGTTCCAAACGTTTTTGCTAGTTTAACGATAACTAGTTTTCGATAAATGCCTTTGTTACAACTAGAATTAACAGGTTTTTAAAAATGAATACTAGTTTTAACGAGGCAAAACGCGTTTTGTTGAAATGATTCAGTTAAAACTATTTCAATAGAGCTCAAAGTTGTATTTTACACTCTGACCATGGCAGAGAAATTGGTAATTTTGTATGAGCTCGCCTCATTGTGGTTCGAACGTAAACTGGTTCATGGAAAGCCACGGCACAGTTAAAGCGAAGAGTTTGTTAAAATGGCTAATTAAGACAGAAAAAATATTGGCTTCATGGATGCAAGACAACTATTACTAATAGGTAAAATTGGGCACTCTGGTAAATGTTTTTTAATGAAAAAACTTGCCCCTGATTAAAGATATTTATTCATTACAGTTGTATACATTTTTATGTGTTGATAATCCTTAGCAATGTTCCTTTAAGTAAGATGATTGTTTTTGTTTAACATTACCCAAGAGTTACTACAATATATTCAACACACACACGATTACAAGATTAAAACTATCTAAAATTACATTTTCATTTATTACTTTAACAACATCCATGTCAATATCCATTTCAATTCTAAATAAGTGTCTCTAATACTAGTTTTAACTAAAATTCAAAGTTGAAACTAGTTTTATCTAAAATTTAGATATATAAAGAAGTAAATTCTAGTTAGAACTAGGAAATTCTAGTTTTGACAAAGGCAAAGTAAACACTAATTCTCTCTCTAGTAAACCCAAAAAGTAGTTTTTAGTAAACACTAGTTCTCTCACTCTAGTAAACTCAAAAAAACTCATACTCTAGTAAACACTAGAGAAAACGAGTCACGATGTCACTTAAAACGGTAACAGTTACATGTACGCGTAATGCCAGTCAATTGTGTGTCAAATCAATGTCAATTAATGTTAGCGTAGTGTACACGGGTGATCAAAGTGCTAAATAAGGTTCAATAATCATAGGTTTCTTTCGATATTTACAAGATATATTATTATAAATTATCCTTAATAACAAGTAATTAAAGTTAGCTTTATGTAACCGGTATGTTTGTTACTGGTGGATAAAGTATTAAAAGCCGTCAAATTATATACATAATAAACAACTTTAAGAATGTATAATTATATATTCTTAAAGTTTTTTTTAACTTAATATTAATGTAGAGTGCAAAAAGGAACATATACACGATATCTTTTTTTATGGGAGAAAGTGGCAAGCAAGCTGGCTGTTCACCTGATGTTAAGTGATAGCCGCCGCCCATGGACATTTGCAACACCTTTAGCTAAAGTGGGCCCCGGCTACCTCACTCACTAGACAAAACGCAGAAGTGTGACTTCTACTTTACTTTACTTTACTGTCTTCTGTGAGGTCGTGGTACTTACCCAGACGGACCTGCCCACTCGTGCAACAGCGAAGACTGTTGCGTGGCCCTGCCACTGTTCAAATCTTGCTTTATTATTTCCGAATCGAATTAGTTAATGGTTCGGAATTGAAGTTGCACCCACCATATAGCCCTGATCTCGCACCGTCGGATTTATTTCAATACCTGGACAACTCCCTTCATGGTAAAAGTTTTAATGATGATGACGCTGTAAAATCTCACTTAACTCAGTTTTTGGCCGATACGGATCAACCAGACTTTCTACGAGCGTGGACTTTTCAAGTTGTCAGAGAAATGGCAAAAGGTCATGGAACAAAGTGGAAAATACGTAATAGATTTATTCTTCATTCCAAGTAATAAAAAGCTTTTATTGAGTTAACAAATCCACAATGACTTAGTTGCCAAGTTTTGTGAGTGATTTTTTATTATTCGATTCGTATTTCGAACTTTCAGAGACAATGCTGCAAAATCTAGAAGTTCTTAGAAAAACTATTGCATCGTCCAAAGCCATATGGTACTGTTTTGGATTTCCAACGAAGTATAAACTATTCTACAAAATACTCACAATTTTCTTGCACTACATTCCCGCTTACATCATTGATGGAGTTTGTCTTTTGCTGGGAAAGCCAAGAATGTAAGTGTATGGAAAATGTTCAATTACTTAATTTTTTTAGCTGAAGTTTAATGACCTCAGAGAGGTCTAGCGTGAAGTGGAAGCGTTATTCTTCTTCATTTCGTTTGGTGAGTGAGGTAGCCGGGGCCCACTTTATTAAAAAGTGGCAACACATCTGCAATCTGGTGTTGCAAATGTTCCTTGGCGGCGGTTATCACATACCATCCGGATAGCCGCCAGATAACTTGCCACTTTCTTATATAAAATATATATTTTAACTGTTTAAGTTCTTAACCAATTTTTAACTAAATAAACTAAGTATCAGACTTTGAATATGGTTTTAACCTACTTCATTATTATCATTAAATGAAACAACTTACTGAAAAATTTTTTTGTTTGCAAAAAATCAATACCTCAACATTTCCTATCCAGGTTAGTGAAAATTTACAAAAAAGTGGATAAACTAATTTACGCACTGGGTTTTTTTACAACAAACAGTGGACCTTCGAAGATCAAAATGCGCAAAACTTATTCAAGAACCTCTCACCCGTTGACAAACAGATTTTTGATATGGACATAACGGCCGTTGATTGGGAAAAGAAATTTCGTATTTGGAGCTTGGGTATACGGAAGTATTTGGTGAAAGAAAGTGAGAAAACGTTTGATTACGCCTTGAAAAGACAGAAACTGCTTAAAATTATTCATTACACTGTATCCGTTCTCTACTTTTACCTTATTTGGAAATTTATTAACCTTTGTTTTGATTTATTCTGTACGTTTGCCCAGATTTTTAATTAAATGATAACATCAACACTATGTTGTTTTATTATTTATTACAAACAAATTGAAAACGAACTATTTATAACAAGATTTTGTAAACTATATTTCTGTAAAGTTTAGCTGTATACATTAATTACACTTACAATTGTAGATACGTGTAATGTACGAAAATTGTTATGAGAGCTAATCACGAAGCAGAAGTCGCAGTTCGGTGCGGTAGTCTCGTATCTTTTTTGTATATAATATCACGCGGTTTGGAAAGCGCATGAAATTAAAATCAAAAACGCACTAAATTGAAGCAATTTATTTTTTTTATATAAAAAACATTGCCCTTACTTTAGGATAACTTTATCCTGTGTTGTAAGGACGTTCTACAAACATAAATTTCAAGTGGACAAACACCCAGATGCGAAACAATCATCTGAGGGTCACTCAAATCGTTGGCCCGTGTGGGAATAGAACCCACGACCCCCGACGCCGAAGCCAATACCTTGGCCACTGCGCCACGGTATGCTGGATGATTTCGTTTCGGATTTTATCCCTTAGCGAATAAAACCTATCTATGTTAAAAATAAGTTACGATAAAATGTGGCCTGCTAATGATAGCAGTATGTACTTAAACACGTAAGTATGAACTTAAACACTTTTCCATAGTAACATTAATTTAACAGTATTTATAACTTTGGCGAATCTATTGCTTTGTGGGGGTACACCCCTTTTTTATATTTTAAATATTGAGTTTGCAACTAAGTAAATGCCGATTTGTTAAATTAAATAAAAAGCTTCTTTTTTACTTGAAATGAAGTTTAAACAATGTTTCCACAATTTTTTTTATAGAAAAATTATTTTCTAAAAAAATTCCACTTTGTTCGAGGACCTTTTGCCATCTCTCTGACAACTAGAAAATTCCACGCTCGTTGAGAGTCTAATCTTTTTTGGCCAAAAGCTGAGTGAAGTGATATTTTACTGCGTCATCATCATTGCAAGTTTTACCACGCCCTTCGTGGTAATAAAAAAATAAGTCAGTCTTCCAGGGCAATGATGTTTAAAAATAAAAATATAGATGGAGCACGTCCATACAGCGCGGCGTTTAAAAATTTATCCGCTTTACGTTATATGACATATATATACAACACTGAAAATGTGATAGATTGTATCCTGTGTTGTAACAACTATCTATGCGAATAATAAGATGCGAAACAACTATCTGTGGATCACGCAAATAGTTGTCCCGTGTGGGAATCGAACTAACGACCCACGATATCGAAGCCAATACCCTGGCAACTGCACCACAATATGTTGTCGTATGAGACTCATTCATTCGTTCATTATTTTGACACAGTACAAAATAAAAACAAGGCCACATATGAAATTGAAATAAATAATGCATTATTTGACGTTATAGATTGGCTAAATAAAAATAATCTTATAATTAATATAAATAGAACTAAGCTAATACAGTTTAAAACATATAACAGCAAAACAAAATGAATCAACATAACACATAATGATGAATAAGTAGAAGAAGTAGATACTGTAAATTTTTTAGGAATAATTTACGACAAACATTGTAATTGGCAAGCTCATGTCGATATGATTTGAACAAGATTAGATACACATAATATATAATTAATAAGTTTGTATATGCACTGTGATTGGGAAATAGTCCAGGTAATTTATGTAAATTAAAAATATATCAGAAGCTTTGCAACACTTGTAATGTGCTTAGTCACAGAGCGGTAACACAATGAATATTAAAAAATAAACTACCTACTAAGTTATGTTAGTTGACAATTGTGTAATAGAAGAGCATGTAAACGAGGTCGTGCGAGTTGCAGCGATGATTTTGATAGGCGCTTCGCGAACACACTGCGTCAGCTAAGACGAACGGTGTCTAAAGAAGCAGCATTAAGCGCATACTACGGTTATGTTTTTTCGGCGCTATCATATGGATTAATAATTTGGGGTAACTCAGCGTATGCGACAAAAGCATTCATAATTCAAAAAAATATATATTAGAGCCATTTGCGGAGCGAAACCTCTCGACAGCTGTAAGCCACTATTTAAAAGGTTAGGCATATTACCTCTTCCCGCGATGTATATTAAGGACATGTGCATTATGGTATGGTGGGCTTGAATTAAATTATAATTACAAAAATAGATCCCTACGTCGACCAGAAAAACTATATGTTCCTACATGTAACCTAAATATATATAAAAGTAATGCTTACTAAATGTCCATAACTTAATAATTTACCGTTCCATAAAATGGTAAATGTAAATAACTTTAACTCCGGCGTAATTCAAATCAAATAAATTTTAAACGATAGAGAAAAATCACTTATGAATTTATCAACAAGCAGAATTCGGCGGTCGCTTATAGTTTTCGAAAAAATAAATTATGAAATAGTGTGATTTTTACTACAGAAATCCGCCATTTTTTTGTTGTCAATATGTCAATTCAGCTCGTATTTCTTGGTGGTCATAAAAAAAACCTAACATCGAAGCGGAGCGGAGCTCCCGCCTGAACCTTCTAACCTAATCTATCCGAGTCGGATTCGCTCTGTGTCGGTTCTGTGACTCATTAAATTAAAAAAAATCGAAATATAGATACATATATGATGTCGCCCGCTTCTTATATTTATCATGTTGGCAGTACTGTGTATTGAGTTTTTGAAGACAAACAAATAAAATGGTGGATTTCTTAGTACAAAAAACAAGTTTTAAATATTTTTTTTCTCGAAAACTATAAGCGACCGCCGAATTCTGCTTGTTGATTAATTCATTATAGATTTATCTCTATCGTTTAAAATTTATCTGATTTGAATTACGCCGGAGTTAAAGTTATTTACATTTACCCATAAAATAAATTACCGTTAGAAATCAAACAATTGCCCCTTGCTTCGTTTAAGACGAAAATAACGAGATGGCTCCTAGATAAAACGATTTATAATATACATGACTATCTGTTACGTAATACTGACATTTAATAATTTGACATAGGTATGTAATATCTGTATAATAATTTAATGTTTTAATGGCATAATTTATGTTTTAATGTGAATAATTGATTATATTTTAAATATTTTAATGTAAATAATTTTATATGAAATTGACAATTGCATGCTGAAGTCAGCTGAATATGTTGCACCAAATTATTATAATTAAGATCACAATGTACTACCATATTCTGGCAATAAAGACATTTCATTTCATTCATTCATTCATTCAAGTAGAACGAAACATTAAGTAGAAGCCACTTAGATATGAAAAGAACACACAATGCAGTGGATAGTTAGTAGATAGTAGATAGAAGTTTTAAGTTTCAATTTGATATAAAGTTTTCATAGCGTATAACTTCTGCGCTTAATATGAAACATTAAAATTTATGGAACAAATGAGCGAAGAGTTTTTTACCGATGCGGGAAATGAGCCCGCGTCTTCCGGAATCGCGCCCGTACGCTTTAACCACTAAACTAAACGGCTTATTGCTGCGCCGAAGAAAATCTTAGCGTATTTATTTTATCTACATTATTTTTTCACATTTTAGCAATTTTAAATAACATCTTACAACGATAACCCGAACGAGGATGTTGCCTTTGGCATTGAACTTTACATTTTGTATTAAGTTCTTTTTATTTAGTATTACTTAAGATGAAACATTGAAGTTGTAGAAGAAGTGGTCTAAAATCAAAATGGCCTAAAAATTATTGGTTTTTACACAGGATGTATGCAGCAAACCTTTATAGAAATATATTGTATAAAATGACGTGACGACCCGAATGGCGTAGTCGGTAGTGTACCTGCCTTCTGCGCCAGAGGGTGTGGGTTCGATCCCCACTACTGGAAAAAGTATTGTGTGATGAGCATAGTGTTTTTCTAGTGTCTGGGTGTTTATTTATGTATAATGTGTGCTTAGTTTGGGACTAGAGAACGTTGTGTAAAAAGAATGTGTCCAAAAAAAAAAAAACAAACAAAAAACCTTCTTAAGTCTTTAAGTTATCAAATTAGAAACTATGTGACGGAGGTATTAAATATTATTTATTTTAAAACATTGCTTTATTTTACTCAAAAATCTTCACAATTGTACAGAATAGATCAAAACAAAGGTTAATAAATTTCCACATAAGATAAATGTAGACAACGGATATAATGTAATGAACAATTCTAAGCAGTTTCTGCCTTTTCAAGGCGTAATCAAATGATTTCTCGCTGTCTTTCAGTAAATACTTCCGTATGCCCAAGCACCATATACGTATTTTCTTTTCCCAATCAACGGCCGTTATGTCCATATCAAAAATCTGTTTGTCAACGGGTGAGAGGTTCTTGAATAAGTTTTGCGCATTTTGATCTTCGAAGGTCCACTGGTTTGTTGAAAAATAACTCAGTGCGTTACTTAATTTATCAACTTTTTTGTAAATTTTCACTAACCTGGATAGGAAATGTGAGGGTAAAGATTTTTCTGTATTCATTAATAATTTCTCATAGTTACAAGTACATAATTTTTAACAAAAACAAAACCGACTTCAAACCGAAGACTAAAAAACATTGTGAAAACCTATAACATTTGAGGATTGCCGCCGATTTCTCTGGGATGTCATCATCAGGTTCGGGTTTCCTTATCATGGTATCACCCTTGGGATATCTCCTTTCCGACAAAAAAAGAATCATCAAAATCGGCTCACAAATGATGAAGTTATCCCCGAACACACATAAAAAAAATAAAAAATATATACGGTCGAATTGAGAACCCTCCTCCTTTTTTGTAGTCGGTTAAAAACATGGAGTGCTTGTTACCAATAAGAAACCATGATCGATTAGGGGACATTGTGAAACAAAAACTGTAGCGGTTTCTGCGCTTCATTGTGATTCGCGTAGTATTGTGCTCGTAGCTAGGTTCCTGTTCTAACGAAAAGAGTGCAAGAAACACCCTACGTTGGACAGCGACCCGGAAAACGAGGCCGCTACTTTTATCAGACCAACCGCGCTCCGACAAAAAGGCGACAAATCTTTTTCACATCTCAATTTTTTTTATGTGAAATGTTGCCGAGCGAGCAGGTGTTCACCTGATGTTAAGTGAATGCCGCCGTCCATGGACATCTGCTACACCAGATGCGTTGACAAACTTTTAAAATTGGGACAAACTTTTAAAATTGGGCTCCGGCCACCGCACTCACCAGATGAAACGCGAAAGTATTATACTTCCAATTTACGCCGGTCTTCGGTGAGAATTTTGTGGGAGGGTATCCAGGTTTATATTTCAAATTCGGACAATTTCCCCAAGGTAAATACCGTAATACCTACCCGAGAATATATTGTAGAAAACAAAACTACAATTCAATAATTCTGACCGCTTTTTTACAGTTCAAATATTATCCATACATCCTAAGCATCTTTAAAAACTTCAGATCATTCAAAATAAGTTCATCCACCTCGCGAACAGTTCTAAGCAGTATCAGCGTAACGTCACCTAATGCAGGGCAATTGCAAACTCCCGACGCTCTGCGAACACTTTCGTGATTTAACCATCGAACGAGCCGAAAATCATTCCAACCCTCTGTTGGTAAACGCAGCGAATTACTTACCTGACATATAAGCGACTGATCACAAATGCCCCTATGCAACGTTCTCATCGACCCAGTCGAGGAAGGGGGCATAGGTAACCCACAGGGGTTCCCGCTAGACAACGCATACTCGTGTGGCGCTAACAAAGATATCAAATTAATTCGTCCTCGCCTACGGGGAAGGCAAAAGCAATACAACGCATACACATGGTACACCCAGTTCGACCCGGACCTCGACGAACCTTAGATGACATACCTTCCCATACATAACGCACGCATGGCCATATGCACTAAGCTACCCACCACGGAGGGCCGTATCCAAATCGTGAGATCCTATTATCTCACGAGCTCTGCGTTTGATGATACCTTAATAGTTATGGACCGAAAAAAATGACATCAATCAAAGTAGAAAAAAGGAAACGAATGCTGTCCGTACACTTACATTCGTGGCTTTCCCAGTAAAAGGCATACACCATCAACGATGTAGGCAGGGATGAAGTGCAGGAAGATAGTCAGCAAATTGTAGCAAACTTTATATTTAGTTTGAAAGCCAAAACAGTACCATATTGCTTTGGACGATGCAATAGTTTTTGTAATAGAATGTAGAGATTGCTCCATCGTCTCTGAAAGTTCGGAAGAATAAATTTCTTATTTATTACTTGTTTTGAACAATTTTAACGATTGAAAATAAGAGACTTAACGAGAGAAACAATATAAGAAAGAGAAAGCTATGAACATTCATCATTAGGTTGCTGGCATGGAGACCAGACAAAGGTAAAAAAAATACTACATAATCATCACGTTATTGATGATCCACATAAATGTCAGTTTATTGCAGGTGATGAAATGAATGAGATTTTTTATAGAAGTAAATTGAATCACCAAAAAGAAAACAGCTTTAACTAAAAAAGTGAAACCAAATTTTTGTCTTTCACCCATGGACATTTGCACTACCCGTAGGGTTGCAGATGCGTTGCAAAATTTTTAAAAGTAGGCCCCGGCTGCCCCACTCAACAGACAAAATGCAGATGTAAAACACTTCCACTTCACACCGGTCTTCTGTGAGATCATGGTAATTACCCAGACGGACCTGCCCATTCGTACTATAGCGAAAACGGTTACGTGGCCCACAGTTCAGTTGTAATTTTTCGCAGGATTTATTTAGATCATGCAACCACTTACTGAACAATAATCCATTCCGAGAGCTGCTGACTGTGTAAATCATTGGCGGCTGGTGCCTATTTTTAGATATGCCTTTGCAGTTTGTCTCCCAAGCTGCTGCCATTATCGTGCTATTAACGATATCGGCGGGAACAATGTCTATTCTTAAACCACCGTCGAAAAATGCGACATGGGTGAGTCCTAAGCCCAAACCCAAAACGAACTGAACATAAAAATGACACACAAGAATTAATATGTAAAACTTAACGAACAAATATATACAGGTATTTCATACGTCACATACGAAAAGATTTGTCTAAAAAAGATTTTTCCACTTTCAGGCGTCAGGATATCATTGATATTGAGATGCAAATCGATTGTATAGAGTATTATTTAGACAGATTTGATATATACACGATTTCATTTCGTAAAATGGAAGCAATACAAACCCCACTTGGTCCATAAGCGCAGCTCATGTCAAGCCATCCTGGGATCGGGTCGCGATAAGTGCACGTTACTAAAAATATACTAAACACGTTAATATTTAAATCTCGGAAACATGTACATTAAGCAAATAAATTTGCATGCTACTAAGTACTCTTCTTTAATTCTTACTAACCAATTGCTGGTCTTACTACGCAAATTGGTAGGTCCCTGTGCTTTGTACGAACCACTTCCTCCGCAATGGCTTTTGAAAAGGTGTAAGTGTTAGGCCAACCATTAATCAACCTGAAAATGTTTATTTATTTTTTTACCCCTGACGTGAAAAAGAGGCGTGTTATAATTTTGACATGTCTGTGAATCTGTCTGTGCAATCGAACTTCTAAAAATGGACACATTATGGATTTTGTGACCGAGATGGTTCTTAGCTATGATTTGGGTTTTTTATGTCAGGTGGGACTTAATATTTTAAATTTTATATTATATTACAATTACCCTTATGGTACATAATGCATTTTGTTAGATGCAATTTCATTTATTTTATTTTGTATTTTATGTATAAGAATAGCGGTGCAATGATCATTTGTATAACTTACGTCGGTGTCATCGCGTTTAATTTCTCGACGGATAATGTTTCTGCCAGTGTAATAATAGCATCAGGTGGCGCTGGAGCGTCATAGAAGCTTTCCCACACTGTGCCATTGATTCGATCTCGTGTCGCGTGTGAGTACGCTGTGGACACGTACACGAATGCACGTAACTGCGTACAATCGGCTGCTAGCCGAAGTGCCTCTCGTGTGCCTCTCGTGTTGCTTAGCAATGCAGCTTTCAGCTCTACGTCAAATCGCACATTCGCTGCCATATGGAATATCACATTTACCTGTTCGTGAATATAAATAAAAAAAATAATATTACCTTAATGCCGAAAACGACCTTAGTACTTATTAGGTCAATATAAAAAAAAGGCGACAATTCCAGGGTGGTAACTCCATTTGAACACTAACCATCCATGAGATAAGAAAGAAATAGAGAAAAACGAAATAACAATCTGTCAACAAAAAAATGTCGACTAAAACATACACAATGACTTGCTGGAAAAACTAGGGGACTCTGCTCCACCATATTCCACTGTCACGTGTTAAAGATGACATGAAAAAAAAATTCGTACTGGCAGGTCCAAGAGTGACTATCAGGCTTGTAGCTGTGGTCACAGACATCTCATATGTCATTATTCAAAGAACCCTTGCTAAAAAATTACATATACAGAAGGTCTCTGCGGCCAACGTGTTGAAACGCCTGAGAAAGTTAACAGAAAAGATAAAGTAGAAACCTGTCCACATATCGCGGGAGAATCTCGAAGTTCAGGAAGATTAGGAGAGAGATCGTCACGTTCCATAACCATAGATGATCAGATATATATTCTCTTCACTGATGTTGCAAAAATTCAAAGATTATATTCAGCAGGGAAGGTTATGGCAACTCTTTTTAAGGAACGGTTAAGGAATTGTTATGGTGGAATATTTGGAAAATGAGTCACTATATCAAGGCCGTATTGCGTACACCAAATACGAAGAGAGTGTGAGGCTATTCGTGAACACACGCGACAAATTGCAGTACTGTTTCATCAAGATAACGCACCGATTCACAAGACTGCAGTGGCGATGGCTGCAATTCAAAAAAAGGATTCGATCTGCTTTAACAGCCGCCCTATTAAAGAGCAGATATCTAGCTGCCAGTGACTTCTACCTCTTTCTTTGACTCAAGGAACATCTTCTGGGCAAAAACTTTGAAAATGATAGGGAAATGATGGACGCTCTTGAAGCGTTTCCTCAACTCAAGACAAATAATTTTCCTCCGATTACCCAGTAGGGTTTGGAAAAAGGATGGACAATACGATGATGGGCTACTTGTTGGATTATGTCGACTAATAAATATTTTTAAGGTTTAATCACATTGGTTTGTATACATTATAATTATTTCTGAACCACCATTCGTATGCTAGTTTGATAGCGTAAAAGATCACTGTCCAAGCTACCAAAAATTATGTTGTGGAAAATTTTTAAGTGCTTTATCACGTCTACAACAATGAAGAAAAAAACTGTAATTATTAGAAATTCAAATAGAACATATGTGATGTCCGCCAAGACGCAATGGTATCACTAGTGGGTCATGAATAGGATGTTAATTTATGCCATAATATTGTCGCTAGTGAGTTTTAGAATTTTAATTTGAACAAAATGTGCAAACTCACCTCTTTTCTCAATGTTTCCCAGTCATAGTCATCTATACCCAATTTGATTTCACTGATATCACCTTGTACTGCATAAATGTTTTCCTCCCAATTCACTCTTAGTTTCCGCAATTCGTCGAATAACTAAAATTACAGAAAATGACTTTGTTCTTAACAGTTACACTTTTTTTTAGTTTCAGTACTTGGACTCACCGGATCTTTTAATGCTTGACTCAATCTTTCTTTAGACCCTTTCTCTTTTTTTTCTCTTATTAAAACGTAAATTTTACTTGGAGCACAAGTTCTGAAAGTTTTAGAAAATATAAGGAATATGACAATTGAATCAAAAACATATCCTATTATTATTATATACTCATTTAGCTCTATTTTGTATTTCATCAAGGTTATTTAATTAAAATTCTACCTTAGCAACTTCTCTATTAAAAGTTTCCCCAGGAAACCGGTGCCTCCTGTTACAAACACAACGCTGCCTTCGTAGAACTTTTGTACAGGCGTGTCACCCATTGCGGCAGCATCTTTCATAGCCTGCTGCTCAGACAGTACGGCTTGATCCGTTATAAAGACGGGATCCATTTTTCTGAAAGAATTTGTTACGTTATCAAATTATGTGTGGTCGGATAGATGACTTCAGAAAGGTTTCTTATAGAAATTGGCTCGCCGATCACGAAAATTAGCCGCTTTGGCCTCGGGGTTAAAAAAATATTCAATAGGGAAAAACAATAATGAAATAATCCATAAGAAAAATTCGGTGGTCACCTAAAGTTTTCAAATCATTCAATCTTGATATTTTCACTTAGTTAATTCGCAAATATAATGCGATTTATAAAATACGTAACTCACGTTTTACTTAGTTGGAAGATACAGGATACTTAAAATTAAATTATAAACACACATTTACTTGATGAACACGTATTATCACAAACTAGCTTTTCACCCACGGCTTCGCTCGTGTTGAAGCCCTTAACAACACTTTTTCCAATTAAAAATAGCCTATGTCCTTTTTAGGCTCTAGGCTATCTGAGTACCGAATTAATTTTAAATCGGTTCAGTAGTTCACTCCATGAAGGCGAGACAGACAGACAGATTTACTTTCGCATTTATAATATTAGTATGGTCACAAATTTCTAATATTTAAGACTTAACTTTCAATATTAAAATCATAACACAATTTATCAAAACAACAACTATACCACTGAATGCAGAAACAAATATAAGAATTATTAAAAATGTATTACTTAATTTTTTAATTTGACTCTTTTATTCGCTCTCGCCAGAACTTTAGATCCGCATTTTTATATTCACTCTAGGAGTAGGAACGACAAGGCTTTATATTAATAATTTATGTCCAACAAGGCTCATTGGTAATATACGTGAAAAGAAATAAATTAGAATTATAAAGAGTAAGATTTCATAAAATATTTTAAATATTAGCCAATTGGCTTCAAATGGTAAAAAGGAGCTATTATGGATTTAATTAACGTCTTATTCCCGATTAATTTTTTTTTTTTTTAAAAAGCTATAAACAATAAAATTCAACTCACCTGTATCAAACCTGAAAACTGAAAACTCAGTCATATACAAAAAAAATCTATTTAAATAGTAAGAAATACATACAATACAGCCTAAACAATTGTTATAAGTCAAAAGGTCATTTTGTGCATTCAATGCAATACCAACGCATAATTATGTCAATATATTTTAATTTATGTATGTTAATTTACGTATGATCTCTTTATCCAATATTTACTACATTAAATCTATCTAAAATGACATCGTAAAGTTACAGCTTATTAATATCCCGCTGCTGGGCAAACGCCGCCTCTGTACAGAGGGTCTAAGGGCATAGTCCACCACGCGACCCCGCTGCGCTTTGGCGGACTTCTCATATTATCCAAATATCGTTAATTTGTTACTATTTCGAAAATAGGCACGTTTCCTCCCGATGTTTTCCTTCACTGATGAGCACTTAAAATTAACAATTTCATTGGTACTGGCGCTGGGGATCGAACTCAGGTTGCTCGAGTAAATTGAATTAATGGCGAGTGCCCCGATATTAAGATATCATGGGCTATTAAACGCTATATTGCACCAATAATGTAATAATTTTATGAGGAAATATTAAATCAACTTAATATATTTTTTATTTAATCATATTTATATATTTATTCGATAAAAATCGAGTTCGTTTGCTACAACTTACTAGTGGAGGGCGCGTTGCTGTGTGTTGGAGTATTACAAAAATACTCCATAGATTCGGTGTAGTCTGTGATGCATTGTGATAATCAACATTTCGTTTAGTCTATACTTCATTTATTGTGGGTATATAAATGCCAGCTGATTCTGTGTACCTTACTTGAATAAAAAACACTGTCATTCTGTATCAACGTCACTGCCCTCTAGACTAAAACTTAAAAAATAAGTGGTGGCATGATAAAGCTTGTAAAATCCAGTGGCTCGCTGACAAAAACCAGTTTGGGGAGTTAAGCTAGGGCAAGCTTCTTAATCCTCTCCCCCCGATTCCCGCCTTGACGTGGCAGAGGTGCTTAGTAGCCGTGGCTTGGTCACCCACGGCGAAGCTAAGAGGAACCCACACTGGGCCGGCCTGTGGTGTAAGGCCCGCCCGATAGGGCCGCTCCGAGTGGGCTCATCGAGCCCACTCTGGATGTGTGCTGGAGGAGGACTTCACTCTTCTGCTACCGAGGAGGAGTCGCGGGGGAAGAGGAGTGCTGGTATTGCATTTGGCCGCTCTCCCTATCCTCTGCGACTCGGCGGGGTTGCACCGCTGATGCAGTGGTGGTGGGGCCGCGGGAGGAGAGGAATGTCGGTATTGCGATGCGCCGTTCTCTCTACCCTCCGCGGCCGAAACGTGGTGAGCGGCGGAGCCACAGACCAGGTCCGCCGCTGGGGTCTGGGAAGCTTGCTGCTTATTAGCATAGGCTCTCCTGGCTCCCATGGCCCCAGTCAGCGAACTCGGGGGAGTTCGTTGGGCATGAAAATGGGGCCGAGTAGGAAGGCGCGCACCTGGAGGAGAGGGGAGATGCTCCCCGGGAGGGGGCTGCTTAGGAGGCCATCGCGGAAGTGTACGAAAGCGTTCCCTCGACCCTGCCGATATGCGCATAGGTGAAACATCGTGGGGGATTTAGTCGGTGCGAGTCTGAAATAACCCGCTCTTGCCCCCGCGATGGCGGGTATGCGTAGGCATTTCCCCCACGTAAACAAAAAAAGGGCAAGCTTCTTAATATCATCTAGATCATTAGGATCAAAATGAAATTGACGAATGAATTAGGATTGCATAGATGCAACGGGAGCTATAGTTCGAGAGCAGATAGCGGGGTCTGAGGCGAAAGTAGAAGAAAAATGAAACTTGATACCATCAAGAGAAGGGAAGAACCTCATTTCAGACTGGCTGGCTTACCAACACCGATAGATTTTTCAAAAAAAGAAGAAATTTCCACAAATCAGCAGGCGATAAGTTAATAACGGCGTTTAGCGATCCGTTCCATTTGGTTGCACCTGTTCCTTGCTACGAGTATCTTAAAAACAGACCAGTTTTCTCTACGAGGAACGAGGGGAACTTTTCAAAAAATCACTCATTATCATGCAGTGTGAGTACTCAGAGCAAGTACTTTCGAAAGTCGTTTCTAATCGATTATTTTCATTAACTCTTTGTTACGGCAAATTAATTAACTATCATTGATCGTTTTCATGAATACATTGTGTAATTAGCATTTAATTTATCGTAAGCTACGGTTCAAGGTAGTATATAACATGTAATTTATCGTATGCTATGGTTCAAGGTAGTTCATGACGTAATTATTCGCAACTACGCCTGATACTTTCCACTATAGATTGCGATCCAAGCTGAAGTTCGGACCTATATCCGTGGGGCCCTTATTTCGTGTCGTGTCCTCTTTTGTTACTCGGTTGTCCATTTCTCGTTTTTAGCAAAAAGTATAACTAAGGGAAAGGTTAACAAGGAATCACAGTGGAACGCCCTTTGTGTACGGAACCCTTAAAATGAACCATTAACATTATACAATTAGCACTAGTACAAAAAATAAGTTTATTGAGTAACTAACACCACTGAGTTTCAAATATCTATGATACTTGGCGGGATCACCTCCGGAACCCTTTCCGGTGGTAGGGCCACGCAGCAGCCTCGGCTGTTGCACGAATAACGAATAAATAAGTTGCCCGTCCAGGTAAGTACCACGACCTCACAGAAGACCGGCGTAAAGTGGAAGTGTAACACTTTCGCGTTTCGTCTGGTGAATGAGGTGGCCGGAGTCCAACTTTCAAAAGGTTGTCAACCCTCGGGTGTAGCAGATGTCCATGGGCGGCGGTATTCACTTAACATCAGGTGAAACGTCTGCTCGCTTGGCAGCTTTTAACATAAAAAAATGGGATCATTATAATATTGAATGCATTTTTATCATTATTTTGTCTACTACATTTAAAAATAATGAAAAACAACAATTTCACAAGTCCAAAATTCCCCAATCACTTAAAACAAAAGTGTTAAAAAGTTAACGAATGCGTTCTTCCGGCTATGACATATGGGTGCGAGACATGGACAGTGACTGCTAGGTTGTTCCATAAGTTGCACGACCGAGTACGGAACGAGCTCTTCAGACGCCGCACGAAAGTGGTCGACGTGGGCTACCCAGTTGGCGAAGTTAAAATGGGCGTGGGCCGGACACATGTGCCGAAGAAAAGACGAACATTGAAGCAAGCGCGTTTTGGAGTGGAGACCCTGGCTAGGCAGGAGAAGTGGGGTCAGACCACCAGCGCGATGGTCCGATGACATTAAGGAGACACCCGGCCCAGTCTGGACAAGGGAAACAAAGAATCGTGCCGAATGGAAGAAAATTGGAGAGGCGTATGCCCATACTCGTTTACGGTCCCCCCCGAAACTTGCTTTCGTTGCCTGAAAACGTGTCGTTCTGCGATTTCCGATCGTTGTTGCTCGAGATGCAGTTTCACGAATGACTCAAGTTCTTCGAAAGACTTTGCTTCGGGTAAATCGGGCGCGCATAGGTCACACATTAATTCGTAACAGGTTACTCCGACATGAGTCAATAATGTGGCCACGTGTAACATTTCCGGAATGTTATTGAGTACAATAAACTGTTTAATTCTCCTGCAATACACATCCGATTTATGCGTCCCGACTTAAAACGTTTCAATCTTTCCAATTGACACTGCAACTGCTCCAAAAAATACACGTCACCGGTGAGTCAAACCATACCGAACCGTTGGGGCCACGCGGGTCACCCGTGAGCTACACCACGACTTAGATTCAAAACTATTTTACAGGCCACTACGATGCTGATATTACACAAAAATGTTAGTAGCGTGGGTCACGTGGCCTCCTTTTTTTTTTTGTTGACGTGGGGGAAATGCCTACGCATACCCGCCCTCGCGGGGGCAAGAGCGGGTTATGTCGGACTCGTACCGACTAAAACTGAACGGTTTTGCGCCTAGGTATAAACCTAGGCGCATATCGGCAGGGTCACGGGAAC